GTGAGTGGTCACTACCGTGACAGTGATGGCAGAGAGCTACGTGGCCGCGACTGTGACAGTGAGGGCAGAGCTAGCGGGCCGCAACCGTGACAGCGACGGCAGAGCTGAGTGGTCACGACCGTGACAGTGATGGCAGAGAGCTGAGTGGCCGCGACCGTGACAGCGAGGGCAGAGAGCTGAGTGGTCACGACCGTGACAGTGATGGCAGAGAGCTAAGTGGCCGCGACTGTGACAGTGAGGGCAGAGCTAAGTGGCCGCGACCATGACAGCGAGGGCAGAGAGCTGAGTGGCCATGACTGTGACAGTGACGGCAGAGCTAAGTGGCCGCGACCATGACAGCGAGGGCAGAGAGCTGAGTGGCTCTGTGCTCGGCGTCGCACAGCCTAGAGCCAGGCCCGGGAGCCAGTCCTCCCTCCTCGCCACCGCGTGGTGCTTCCTTCGACCAGGCTGGCGCGGAAGCAGCTGCGGTGTGGCTGGGCTGGGAATTTTGTGTCATTTTAGCTGGGCTCGAGCGCATCTTTACTCATCGAAACAGAAACCGACCGCCACGTTTGCGACGAGGAATGTTTGTTCGTTCCTGTGCTGTGAAAGTCCATGCTTTGGGGCCCAACGAACTCTTGGAGAGCATCTTGTACACTCTGCTGGTCGTGGGAGCCTCTCCTCTGTAAGGAGTGCTTGAGAGGCTTGAAGAAGTGGTTGGTTGAGTGCGTGGAATATGGCAGCGAGGCAGAACTTTGTGGCCCGATTGTTCAGCTTTGGAAACGTTAGCTGTGGGACGTGCGGTTGGGGGTGGTGGGGAAGAGTCGGGCCCTTTCTGCTGGCCAGTGCAGCTGGCCTTGCAGGTCTTGGTGCATCTCACTGATGTGCTGAGATGCTCCTCAGAGGTCAGGGCTCGCTGGGACTCAAAGGGCTGTAGTGGGGCAGACCCCCCTGTGACGCTGACCCCTATTGGGTGCAAGTTTGGCTTTGGGAAGTGCTTTGATGCCTCTTGGTCCAACCACTGAACAGGTCGTTGTAAAATCCACTCTTCATCTTTCTGTCTCTCTCTTTTAGAGAGAGATTTTGCTCTGGGGCACATGTGCTTGCCAGAGAAATAGAGAGAGAGAGAAAGCCAGAAATCACTCCCCCTCCTGGGGGGATGGCCACACTGCAGTCCCTTCTCTTTCATTTTCCTCTCGGGATCTTGAGCACACACACTCGCACCTGGCATGAGTTTAAAGCCACCAGGTCTGGACTTGGGTGGACAGCCTGGGAGTCCAGTGATGTAACCGTTATGCCCTCTGCTGGTCCCGAAACCCACTGTTCACCTCTGGTGCAATCTGATCGAGAAGTGAGTCATTGTTGTTGCATGGCATAAAGGCAGATGACACTTCAAAGCGACGATTTTGCTTGTCTGGTTTGGGTCAGCTCTTGAGGAACCCACTTACTGAGCTGTTTCAGTTCGCCAATTTGCTTCAAATGCCAAACGGCCGCAGGGTGGTCGGCGTTGAGATCTGCCGCAGCCTCTCGTGTGGCTGGGAGAGGGTCAGCCTCGATGAGAGCTCTCAGCTGGTTGTCGTCAACGTCGGACAGCAGCCACCATGCTCTTCACCCCCACGGCTCTCGTCTCCTTCGCCAGACTCCCCGATCCCTCCTCCTCGCCACACTTCCGTGAGCCATTCCTGAGCCAAAGGCGTTGTTGTGGTCGTGAGTTGTCTCTGCGGCTTTCGAGCCCTTTTGGACTCGAACAAGAACATTGCTCAGATTTGATCTGGCCTAGCATCATTCCCACAGTCTGAAGCACTGTAAAATACACACCGAGTCAGAAGACATTAGCAACAACAGAAGATAAACACAAAATGCTCCTTAAATGATGCATGAATAGTCACATTTATTTAAGAATGTGCCCAGTCTCAAACAGCAGACGTCAGCAGTGTGCAGCCACCACTACGTTTGCACGCCCCGAACGCCTAGTACCACTCGCCGTGCGCAGTATGTGGGCGCCTCGCTGCTGTCCCACGCGCCAGCTCACGGGGCGCTTTCTTTGTGCAGGTGTCAGGAGAGGCCCTTCCGGTCTTCTCTGCTGCTTCCGTTCACTTTACTAACTCGTGACTGCCTGCCCCGATGGCCTTCCCCAGGGGAGCGCCATCTCTGTCGTAATGACGGCGTCTTTAGCCAGGACTGCTCGCTTGGTCTGAGCACCTGGACGTCGAGACAAAGTGTCAGGACAAAGACAGAGAAAGAAATAGGCTTGTCCTTCGGAATGCTTAGGCCAGGAAGAAAACAAGTAACTTGACAGATGATTTTTCATAAAAAAAATCTGAATGATATGAATACCTGAAAATAACGTAGATAATTATAGTACATGTGAAAGGATGCTGTCAAACAATTCTCTTACGATTTTCTATTGGACCAGTCCCTTAATGGAGTGGGTAAAGGAGCTAGATTCTACAGGACCTACCATGGTTCAAATCCTGCCCCAACCACTTGAAAATCATGCTGAGTTCCCCTGCCTACATGCCCCAAATCCTCACAGGAAGGGACAATGCAGAAGACAGGATGGTGGCAGGAGGGGGCACACTCGTGTCCCATGGCAGGGTGCTTTCTTGCTTGCTCACTGGTGCACAGGCTCCCCAGCAATAAAAAGTGTTTTCTATTGACTATTGCTTTATGTAACTACAATTAAAGTGAGATTTCTAGATTGATGGTACAACTGCTGATCTAATATGTAAAAGAATAGTTATGTGTTATAAAGAAATACACTTCTGAGTCCTACAGAGGCTGGTAACGTGTTCATCTTGTGCTCTGATCCTGTTCTGTGGCCTCTTCCTGTGGCCTCTTTGTGCATGTCCCAGAATTTGCGTGTCCTACCTTATATGACAAGTATGTGTGTGTGCGTGCGTGTATCTAAATTTTATTTGTTTATTTATTTTTAGAGAGAGATTTTTGCTATAGGGCACATGCACTTGCCAGAGAGACAAGAGACAGAAGGCAAGAAACCACCCCTCCCCCAGTGGAGATGGCCATGCCACAGTTCCTTCTCCTCCATTCTCCTCTCGGGATTTTGGGCACGCATGCACGCACACATGCCCAGCATGAGGTTTAAGCCACCAAGTCTGGGACGTGAACCGGGATCTACATGGGAGTCCAGAGACATAGCCATTATGCCATCTGCGGGTGCCGCGCACGTATATAATAACGTCTCTGTAGGCACAAGTGCAGAAGTACTCAGTACCTTACAGGTAGTACCAGGTAACGTGCAGAAGTAACCGGAGAGGGGCAGGGAGAGTTAACTGTTCTGCACTGTTTTTTATTTGCCTCATTTCAACAGCTCTATTAGCCATGTACCAAAAGCAATCTTTGTCATAGGCATTGCTTTATGAGACAAACATCTCGATTTTATGGACCAACCGAAGGAACAGCTGTCACGTGACCTCACTCCGGGATTTTCGGTTAAGCATAGCAGTTACAAGGCAGGTCACTCTGTCTAATGTAGCTGATGTGTAATCAGCCGCCACCGGGGTTTTGGCCAAAACGATGTGCATTAACATTCTGTAGAAAACACATCTGTATTGAGCAGGAGATTGTTTTTACGTCATTTGCATTAGATGAAACTTTTTTATATTCATAATGCTATTTGTAAAAAAAATGATAGCACAGATACATTTTGCTTGCTGAAAGTTATGTATCTACCTATTATCCATCACCATTTCAGAAGTTAATATAAGGCCGAAGGTTTCTGTTTACAGTAACATGAACACCCGTCTTTTCAAAACGACAAGACAGTTTAAAAATTTCTGGGACAACAAACACATCATATGAAAATCTCCCTAAATACTGAACTGCTACGATGTAAGGGCCCGCAGATTGCGCTTTTCTAAAGTTATGTTTGATATCCATTAGGCTGTCGGAATCATCATGACGTGTTTTTCTGTTGTTCTATGCAAAAATGCATCACAACTTTCCTGATGAACCAGTGTATGACATTGCCATGTGCTGTATGGAGGCAGTGTCACCTTTCATGCCAGCGCAGTCAGGAGCAGCCCCTTCACGCCTTCCAGCTCTCACTGACTGCGGTTCAGATAGCGTCCCCTCCGTTAACTCAGAGATCCAAGCGCTACAGTTGACAGGTTAATTACCTGCTTTGCAAATGCATATCCTG